TACCTACTATAAAATAGGTCATCGGTTGTTAGTTTTGTTAAAGAAGTGAGGAATATATCTTACAAAGTAAAGGGTATGACATGGTCTTTCTTGGTTAATAGCACTAAAAAGTTGTCACTATTATATGAAGGTATCATCTTGGAAGACAACCTGCCAACACCATGAGCTATAGAAAGAAGATGGATTTCAGGGTTAGAGTTCATGGTGGTAAGTTTCACTGTCACAAGTTTCCAAAACTAAGATCTTGCTTTTTTGTAGCACTGAAAATCAATGTGGTAAAGGCTTCTTCTCTCAAACTCTTCTCGATTATGTCTAACCGTGTCCTAATTTATTTTCTTCATCTATTATTTGAAGAGAACTGGTGTTTCTTCTTCTTAAATACCCATATGACATCTCAGAGTTCAGAATGCCTAATTCTCTTTAGATGTGAGTTGGGTTTTTTTTATTGTGGTTATTAAAGAGTAATAAAACCATGGCGATTTTTTTTTTTTGAACTTTTTATTATGATCTGTCACACGGTTACAGGATGTGAATTTAGATTGGAACGAAGCTTTATAATATTTTAGATTTTGCTTCGTATAACAACTTTGTTATAGGTCGATAAAACAAAAAGCTTTATAATCTGCAATATTATTTATTTTCTCTCATTTTTTATCCTTATCATGTGAATTTTCAATTTTTGTAGGATTCAACGAAATTTGTTTTGTACTTCTGAGGTGGGGTCCAATATTTAAGGTAACTGTTGATCAGAGAACTGAGTTTTGAAAACCTAACAAGGACTTATAAGCTTCTTTGAATTTAATTTTGTGCTCTTTTAATGCATTTATTTGATTTCTACATTAGAATATTTAGTAGTTTATTTCATGTTGTTGGAATATTTTGCTACATTTAATGTTTATTTTCTGGGAGAATACATGGTGTATTCTTTGTGTAATTATGAAACGTAAAGACTTAGATGGTTGAAGTAACACATAACGACAATATATAAAGAGAAGCTATTGATGATAAGGAAGGTAAGGTTCTTATATTAATCAGATTTTCAGGTAAATAACTTTTTCCATAGTTGTGGTCAGTTGAATTTAAGGATATGATCCAATTATTCTATTTTAAACAATTTTCTTCCTTGAAAAGTAAGTTCTTTGTTCTATGAATCCTAGAAGTGAACACGTTTAAGTAATTTGGTTGTTAGGTATCTCAACTGTTAATATAAGTAAACTATATTTTGAGTTTTCTATTACGAGGATATCATATTTTGTAGTTTGAAGATTACATCTCCTAAATTCAATTATAACTTCTTGTGATAACCAATTTTGCATGATTTTAAACTATTTGAATTCCTTTGCTTGCTTTCATTTGTTTTCTTATAATTTCAATTAATATATGGGACGATTTGTAGGTAAGGTGATGGGAGGCAACTAGGAACTAAACTTCGCTCAGATTCCAATACACATTGCACACAAACTCTTTGATGGATTTCTAGGGTAATATATTTTTCTATAACCAGTTGTTTGGTGATTCAACATCTTGGTTTTGATGGTATATTGATCATTTTCGGTGGTATATTGTGGTAATATAATAATGCTTTGTTTTGTTTCTTTAAGAGATTGTATTGATCATATTCCGTGGTATATTGCTGTATGTTATAAAAGAAATAGTAGTTGGAAATTTGAAAGTATTATGTTTCAATTATAAAAATAAGATGTAAATAAGTTTTATATATTTCAATTAGAAAATTAACTTTAAAAATCCATGTTATTAAAAAATTTATTTTTCCCTCTTAAGATTCTATACAAAAAAAAATCTCAATATTCAGTATTTTATTTACCATTATACCACCATTTTCTAGATTTAGTATTATGCTTTTAAGGCGTCAAGTCTCAATATTTTTTAATTTGTTAACTGTGATTTCCCGGTTATAACTTAGTAATAGGGATGAACATACGGACCGGGGAACCGAAACCGGAACCCGATGGAACCGCTCGGGCTGGGACCGCGACGTTATTTTTGTAGATTTTTGGAACCAGAAACCGGTAAGAACCGGAATCAATATAACAGGAACCGGTAGAACCGCCGGACCAGTGCGGTTCTTGATTTTGGTCGAAACCGGTTCCCGGGTCAGGTCCGGTTCGAACCGGTTCGATCCTTTTGCTCATCCCTACCTAGTAAGTTCTAGTGTATTCATTTAAAACTTTTAACAAATAAATTACCTATTAAATAGCTTTAAAGTTAACCATAAATAAATAAAAAAAATGATGATCGCTCACACTACAAAAAATGCAGCCATTACCGGCGACACTAATAGCGGCGACAACACCTTTAGCGGCGACTTTTCGAAAAGTCGCCGCTAATGGTGTTGTCGCCGCTATTGATATCGCCGGTAATGCCTACCTACCCGAATCCGCGTTTTCACGTTCTGGTGAACATCTACCGTTTGATCATTTTTCTAATCTAATGGCTGAGAAACTCGTGGAACGCACAAACCCAATACCGGCAACAATATGTCGCCGCTAAAGATCTAAATTGTCGCTGCTAAAGGTCGAAAAAAATGCGCCTTTTTTTCCCTCTTTGTATGTCGCCGCTAAAGGTTTGATGTCGCCGGTATTGATTCTTTTGTCGCCGCTATTGGGTGTCGCCACTAAAAGTCGACGCAGATTACTCCCCCTTACTTCCTCTTTCTGTTTCAATCTTCTCTCATTTTGTTCCAACATTTTCTCCGAAAATTATCCTCTCCTCCAACGATTCTCCCTAATTTAACAACATATAGTAGAAGAGATACCATCGGTCGTCAAAAACTTCCCCTCTCCGGCCACCATCACTATTGTTGCTGTCGATTTCCTTGTCCCAGGTTCATGTTTCCTTCCTCATCTCTTCCTTTCTTTCTACTTTAATGTCTATTTCCATAAGAGTTTGTGATTAATTGCATTTTTGTTTTCAAAAATCTCTTTTCCTCTCGTCACCATCACTACCGTCGGTAGTTGCTGTCACCTGCATCAACTACCACCACCATTGTTGCAGCACCAAAGATTCCAGTTGAAAGTGAGAAAAGTTTTGAGAACCACAGGTACATTTTTTTGTAATTTGTTTTATATGCGTGCACTTGTGTGTGTATTTTGTATATATGTGTGTATTTTATATATGTGTCTGAAATATGTTATATGTGTATGTATTTCATATATATGTGTGTGAAAATTGTGTGTATTTCATATATGTGTGTGTAAAAAAAATACTTATATGTGTATAATGTATGTATGTATGTATGTATGTATGTTTGTATGTATGTATGTATGTGTTTGTATGCAATTTGGATTGTGTTCATAGTTGTTTTATGTGTATAAAAAGTATGTATATTTGTGTATAATGTATGTATGTGTGTATTTATGTGTAATTTGGAGTGTGTTGATGGTTGTTTTATGTGTATAAAAAGTATATATTTGTGTATAATGTATGTACGTGTGTATTTATGTGCAATTTGGAGTGTGTTAATGGTTGTTTTATGTGTATAAAAAGTATATATTTGTGTATAATGTATGTATGTGTGTATTTGAATGCAATTTGGAGTGTATTGTATACAATGTATAAAGTACAATGTCATAATGGAAAAAAGAAACAAAAAGCAAGTAGCACGCTATTATTGAAAATGTTATTTAAAGTAAATTACTATAATAGTTCCTATATAATGTGTATTTGTAGATAAATCGGTAATTATTAGTTTGTTGGTTTGATTGTTGGTTTAACTTAAAAGGTTAATATTAGTTAGGTGGTTTGTTAATTTGATAATTTTAAGTTTGGTTTAAGTTAATAGGTGGCGGGAACAACGGTCCAGAGTCTACTGTGGAACTTATAGGAGGGAACAACGGCGGCGGGGATAATGACACGTCGTATTAGATTTATCTTTTATTAGATATTGTTGTATGATATAAATTTATAAGAATTTTGTTATTTATTTGGTCTATGTATGGTATTATAAAACTTGGATGTTATGTAATCGTTTTTCTGAATTTAACGTATCGGTTTTTATGCATTTAATGTTATTATGTATCAGTTTTTGGACAGCCGAAAATGACTGCTTTTAAAAAAAATAAAAAAAGGCAATAGCAGCAACACTAATAGCGGCGACACGTAGCATTACCGGCGACATGAGTATTCGCGGCGACATCATCATTAGCGGCGACAGTGAGCATTAGCGGCGACTTTTTGATCAATACCGACAAGACAGTAGCGGCGACTTAATAGCGGCGACGTATCGCTGGTAAAGCTATTAGCAGCGACTTTGGTGAGCAATAGCGGCGACTTTTGTCGCCGCTAATACCTTTTTTTCTTGTAGTGTCATTGTTTTTAATAAGGAGCTGATTTTTACATAATATTTTTTCTTGATATACATCGGTGTTATAAAATATTGTATTGTACAAGTCTATAATGCATCCATTGTTGTGTATATGATAAAAAACTGTTGTATACAAAGCATTTCCGTTCTCAATATGTCAAAATAATTCTTATTGCACGTCGATTTTGGTGGTGATTCGTTGTTTTATCATTGTTTATCTGTACTATGTTGTAGAAATACCAACGACCAATGGCAAGTCTCTTCGACAAACACGTTCCAATATGTGGTTGTTAGAATTAGAAGTCAATTATTAACAATTTAAAAAAAAAGGCCGGTGGTTGTTAGAATTAATGTCAATTATTAACCATTTAAAAACCATGGTTGTTAGAACTAATGTCAATTACTAACCATTTAAAAAACATTGATATCAATTATTAACCCTCTAAAATACGGATAAGATAACAGCGAATATTATTCAACCTTCGACTACTACGAACTTACACGCTAACATCTTATACAAAACAATTACATTTACCAAATCATAATACATAAATTTAAAATTTCATTACTTTATATCCCCACCCTAATCTCTATATATAGACACGCTCATAATGGCGGCTAGTGAATTCCACACCAATTTTCCCCATTTACTAAGAGAATACATTCAGATCAAAACATGGTATACTCTTTCACCATATTTTATAACAATCGCTGTACATCATTTCCTCGTTATTAAAATATTCTTCACTTCATAGTAATTACATATTATTTTGGTTCCATATGCAGGCAGCCAATGGCGTACTAGTTGGACCATGGGGAGGTAAGGGTGGAGTTAATCCCTGGATATTCATCCCCAACGGTAGAATTTCACAAATTTGTGTCAGCGCCTCTGGGTGTATAGATTCTATCAGGTTCACTTACATAGATCATCAAGGAGTCCAAAAACACTCGGAAAGATATGGAGGTGATGGTGGGTTAGCTCAAACGGTAACTAATTAAGCTTTCGTTACATATATTAAATACCTAAACATGAACTATACTTTTGTGTAGTTTTATCATACATCATTATCGATTATTTGGGTATATCTTCAGGTTACATTTATTGACGATGAGCACTTCATCGGGATTACCGGAACTGTGGGAGTATACGAAGGCTACACTGTGATTACGTCATTGTCTTTCCTTACAAACATAAAGAACTATGGGCCATATGGTACAAACCAAGGGACTAGTTTCTCTCTCCCTGTCACTAAGGGTAGCTTTGTTGGATTAAGCGGAAACTATGGAGCATATATCGACTCTTTCAGTGTCATTCTTCAATCATCTTCTGTTGGGAACATATTCAGCACAAACATGGTATACTCTTTCACCATATTGGGGTTGTGATTTACCTTTTGTATTTCATTTGTTGATTGCTAAGATTTTTTTTCACTTGTTAGTTATATTTTATTTTGGTTCTATATTCAGGCAAGCAATAAAATACATGTCGGACCATGGGGTGGTAAGGGTGGAGTTAAGCCCTGGACATTCATCCCCAACGGTAGAATTTCAAAAATTTGTATCAGCGCCTCTGGGTGTGTAGATTCTATCAGGTTCACTTACATAGATCATCAAGGAGTGCAAAAACAATCGGAAAGATATGGAGGTGATGGTGGTTCAGCTCATACAGTAAGCGAGCGTTGTTATTAAATACCTAAATATGTATCATACTTTTCTGTAATTTTATCGTACATCGTTTATGGATTATTTGGGTATATCTTCAGCTTACACTTGTTGATGATGAGCACTTCATTGGGATTACGGGGACTGTGGGAGTATATGAGCGCTACACAGTGATTACATCATTGTCTTTCCTTACAAACAGAAAGAACTATGGGCCATATGGCACAAACCAAGGGACTAGTTTCTCGCTGCCTGTTGCTATTGGTAGCTTTGGTGGATTTTGCGGAAACTATGGAGCATACATCGACTCTTTTAGTGTCATTCTTCAATCTACTTCCCTTGAGAAACACATTTAGCTCAAACACGGTATATTCTTTCACCATATATACTTGTGAATATTGGGTTTGTGTTTTGTATTTCATTTCGTGATTGCTAAGGTTAGTTTAGTTGTTATATATATATATATATATATATATATATATATATATATATATATATATATATATATATATATATATATATATATATATATATATATATATATATATATATATATATATATATATATATATATATGGGCTCTATATTTAGGCAAGCAATAGAATACATGTTGGACCATGGGGAGGTAACGGTGGAGTCAAACCTTGGACATTCATCCCTAATGGTAGGATTTCCCAAATCCGTATCAGTGCTTTTGGGTGTGTTGATTCCATCAGGTTCACCTATATAGATCATCAAGGTGTCCAAAAATACTCGGAAAGATATGGAGGTGACGGTGGTTCACTTTATAAGGTAAGCGGGCTTTTGTTACAAATACTAAGTACCTAAACATGTACTATACTTTTCTATATTTTTATCATGCATCATTTATCGATTATTTCTTTATATCTAGCTTTAGGTTACATTTGTTGACGATGAGCACCTCAGCGGGATTACTGGAACCGTGGGAATATATGAACGTTACACTGTGATTACGTCATTGTCTTTCCTCACCAACAAAAAGAACTATGGGCCATACGGCACAAACCAAGGGACTAGCTTCTCATTGCCGGTCGCTAAGGGTAGCTTTAGTGGATTCAGCGGAAACTATGGCGCATACATCGACACTTTCAGCGTCATTCTTCAATCATCTTCCCTTCAGAAAATATTCAGCACAAACATGGTAAACTGTTACACCATTTTTCTGAATATTGGTGTAACGACCCACTTATCACGACCAAAATTTTCTTTTAAAACGTTACTAAAACCATATTTATAAACCTGTATCATAGGTCATAACATAATTTTTGAGTTTTAATTCAAAACATAATCTCATTATCAGAGTAAATCATTCCCAGGCTAACTGACTGTGGCTTGTGTACTGCAACGTCTCCGAGCTCCTCTTTTGCAAACTGAGTACTTGAAACCAAAACTGAAAACCGTAAGCACGAAGCTTAGTGAGCTCCCCCAAACTACCACATACCATACAATAACATATAAAACACATACTGGGCCTTGCCCACTGCATCAGACTGAGGTCCGGACTAACTCGGGCCTTGCCCCCTGCATCGGACTGAAGTTCGAAAACTGACTAGGACCTTGTCCCCTGCATCGGACCGAAGTCTGGAACTAACTGAACAAAGCATATCATAAACATATCAACTAGCATGAACACACATATACTGCATACTGCATTGGGTCGTAGCCCAGAACACATAACACATAAATCATGCTTAAGCCACAAAGGAATCAAACATACTAACTACTTTATCGGACCGAAGTCGGGAAACTACTGCTAGCTAAACGGGTCGGCATTGTGGCCTTAGACCCGTTTCTACTGGAAGGAAACTCACCTGGTACTGCTGAACTTGCTGATAATCCTCTGGCTGCTAACCGACAACCTTCTGAGCCACTGCTCCTCTAGCTTTTTGAGCTACCAATATCAAAATGATACTTAGTCTGACAGCCCTTCAAAAGTCAACTAAGTCAACTCTAGTCAAAGTCAAAGTCATGGTCACAGTCAACCTTCCAGGTTGACCCTACTCGCCGAGTCAGCCTACTGACTCACCGAGTTCATAAGCTCAGAAACCCCCCCCCCCTTTCATTCGCGACTCGACTCGCTGAGTCAGACCATGACTCACTGGGTCTACTGTTTTTCGAGTCCTGACCTGTCCACTCACTGGGTCCCCACTCAACTCACTGATCCGAGTCTTAACTCGAAGGGTTTGGGGTTTCACGATTTGACTCGCCGAGCTCAAGAACATACTCGCCAAGTCCAAGGCAATCTTCAACAGACTCGCCGAGTTGTTCTTCCAACTCGTCGAGTTACTGCCTAACTTCATCCAACTCGCCAAGTACACCCATGTGACTCGCCGAGTCTCTTCAGTTCTTAATCCATATAGTGGCTTTTCGAGCCATGCAGGGGGTCAAATCCATATATCCATTCCTCTAGAGCCTAACCCCCACGTAAAGTGGCAAACTTTACGTGTAACTAAGGAGTTATAGGCTTAGAACAATCTAGGGCTAGGGTTTGTAACAAAGGGGCTTCACCAACAACTTATTGGCCTAAACTTTATGACTTTCTGGGATATTACCAACCTAGATCTAAGGTAGCAACCTCAGATCTACTCCAAACTCGAAATAGATCTCATCCATACGCAAAATTCCCAAAACTCAAACATAAGATAGATCTAAATGCACATAAGCCCAAACAACAGACTATTACCTCAAATGAAAGCTCCAACTGAAGTAAATCCCGGATCTACACCACTCCTTTGCAGCAAAGCCCTTGATCTTCAAGCCCCTCTACAAGATTCTCTCCTCCAAGACTCTATTCTCTCAAATAATGAAAGCTCACTCAATTCTAGGGTTTCTGGAACTCAAAAGGGGAGCAAAGAGGCTGAGGGTGGGTTATAATGTGCTTTATATAGGGCACAACCTCTGGGATTAGGGTTTTTCTCGCCCAGACCAGACTCGCCAAGTCCACTCGCAGACTCGCCGAGTCGGTCACTTACTGAATAACTCGGATCCCGCTCCGACTCATCGAGTTCCTCCTTGGACTCGACGAGTTAACTCTTGATTTAGAGCTTAACCTTTCTTTTCTTGGTCTTCCTGATTCTGGGTGTTACAATTGGGTTTCCGATTTACCTTGTCTACTTCATTTGTTGATTGCTAATATTTTTTTCACTTATTAGTTATATATTAATTTGGCTCGATATTCAGGCAAGTAACGGAATACATGTCGGACCATGGGGAGGTAACGGTAGAGTGAAGCCTTGGACATTCATCCCTAATGGTAGGATTTCCAAAATTTGTATCAATGCCTCTGGGTGTGTAGATTCTATCACGTTCACCTACATAGATGATCAAGGTGTGCAAAAACAATCGGAAAGATATGGAGGTGATGGTGGTTCACCTCATACGGTATGTGAGGTTTTGTTACACATATTAAATACCTAAATAATTACTATAATTTTACCATACATCATTCATTGATTATTTGATTATATCTTTAGGTTACATTTGTTGACGATGAGCACTTCATCGGGATTTCCGGAACTGTAGGAGTATATGAACACTACACTGTGATTACTTCACTGTCTTTCGTTACTAACAAAAAGAACTATGGGCCATACGGCACAAACCAAGGGACTGGTTTCTCGTTGCCGGTCGCTAAAGGTAGCTTTGGTGGATTTAAAGGAAACTATGGAGCATATATCGACTCTTTCAGCGTCATTCTTCAATCATCTTCCCCTGAGAACATATTCAAATCAAATATGGTATACTCTTTCTCCATATTTGTGAATATTGGGTTTGTGATTTACCTTGTGTACCTCAATTGTTGATACCTAAGGTTTGTTAATTTGTTAGTTATATTTTATTTTGGCACTATCTTTAGGTAAGCAATGAAATACATGTTGGACCATGGGGAGGTAACGGTGGAGTTAAACCTTGGACATTTATCCCTAATGGTAGGATTTTCCAGATCCGTATCAACGCATCTGGGTGTGTAGATTCTATTAGGTTCACCTACATAGATCATCAAGGTGTCAAAAAACACTCGGAAAGATATGGAGGTGATGGAGGTTCATCTCATATGGTAAGTAACCTTTCATTACATATATAAAATACCTAAACACCTACTATACTTTACTGTAATATATCGTACATCATTTATCTATTATTTTTGTATACCTTCAGGTTACATTTGTTGATGATGAGCACTTTATCGGGATTACCGGAACTGTGGGAGTATATGAAGGCTACACGGTGATTAGATCAATGTCTTTCCTTACCAACAAAAAGAAGTATGGGCCATACGGCACAAACCAAGGGACTAGTTTCTCGTTGCCGGTTGCTAAGGGTAGCTTTAGTGGATTTAGCGGAAACTATGGGGCATACATCGACTCTTTTAGTGTCATTCTTCAATCTTCTTCCTTTGGGAAAATATTCACCTCAAACATGGTATACTCTTTCACTATATTTTCAAATATTAGATATGTCATTTACCTTGTGTACTATATTTGTTGATTTCTAAGGTTTGTTCACTTGTTAGTTATATATTATTTTGGCTGTATATCCAGGAGAGCAATAGAATACATGTTGGACCATGGGGAGGTAACGGTGGAATTAAGCCCTGGACATTCATCCCAAACGGTAGGATTTCCCAGATCCGTATCAGTGCCTCTGGGTGTGTAGATTCTATCAAGTTCATTTACATAGATAATCAAGGTGTCCAAAAATATTCAGAAAGATACGGAGGTGATGGTGGCTCAACTCATATTGTAAGTGAGCTTTTGTTATGTATATTAACTACCAAAACATGTATTATATAATGTTTTGTAAATTTATCATATATCATTTATCGATTAGTTACCTATATCTTTAGGTTACATTTGTTGACGATGAGCACTTCATCGGTATTACCGGAACTATAGGAGTATATGAACGCTACACTGTGATTACGTCATTGTCGTTCCTTACCAACAAAAAAAATTATGGGCCATACGGTACAAACAAAGGGACTAGTTTCTCGCTGCCGGTCGCTAAGGGTTGCTTTGGTGGATTCAGCGGAAACTATGGAGCATACATCGATTCTTTCAGTGTCATTCTTCAATCATCTTCCACTGAGAACATATTCAAATCAAACATGGTATACTCTTTCTCCATGTTTGTGAATATTGGGTTTGTGATTTACCTTGTGTACCTTATTTGTTGGTTCCTAAGATTTGTTCATTTGTTAGTTATATTTTGTTTTGGCACTATCTTCAGGTAAGCAATGAAATACGTGTTGGACCATGGGGAGGTAACGGTGGAGTTAAGCCCTGGACATTTATCCCCAATGGTAGGATTTTCCAGATCTGTATCAACGCCTCTGGTTGTGTAGATTCTATTAGGTTCACCTACATAGATCATCAAGGTGTCCAAAAGCACTCGGAAAGATATGGAGGTGATGGAGGTTCATCTCATATGGTAACTAAGCTTTCGTTACTTATATAAAATACCTAAACATGTATTATATTTTTTTTGTTATTTTATCAAACATCATTTATTGATTTTTTGGGTATATCATTAGGTTACATTTGTTAACGACGAGCACATCGTCGGGATTACCGGAACTGTGGGAGTATATGACGGCTACACTGTGATTACGTCAATGTCTTTCATTACCAACAAAAATAACTATGGGCCATACGGCACAAACCAAGGGACTAGTTTCTCTTTGCCGGTCTCAAAGGGTAGCTTTTGTGGATTTAGCGGAAACTATGGGGCCTACATCGACTCTTTTAGTGTTATTCTTCAATCCTCTTCCTTTGGGAACATGTTCACCTCAAACATGGTATACTCTTGCACTATATTTTCAATATTGGGTTTGTGATTTACCTTTAGTACTTTATTTGTTGATTTTTAAAGTTTGTTAATTTATTAGTTATATATTATTTTGGCTCTACATCCAGGAGAGCAATAGAATACATGTTGGACCATGGGGAGGTAACGGTGGAGTTAATCCATGGACATTCATCCCGAATGGTAGGATTTCCCAGATCCGTATCAGCGGCTCTGGTTGTGTAGATTCTATCAGGTTCGCTTACATAGATAATCAAGGTGTCCAAAAATATTCAGAAAAATACGGCGGTGATGGTGGCTCAACTCATATTGTAAGTGAGCTTTTATTTATTTATTTATGTATATTAACTACCAAAACATGTATTATATAATGTTTTGTAAATTTATCATACATCATTTATCTATTAGTTGGCTATATCTTTAGGTTACATTTGTTGACGATGAGCACTTTATCGGGATTACTGGAACTATAGGAGTGTATGAACGCTACACTGTGATTACGTCATTGTTGTTCCTTACCAACAAAAAAAATTATGGGTCATTCTTCAATCTATTTCCCTTGGGAACATATTCAACTCAAACATGGTATACCCTTTCACCATATTTATGAATCTTGGGTTTGTAATTTTCCTTGTGTACTTAACTTGTTCATTGCTAAAGTTTGTTCACTTGTTAGTTATATTTTATTTTGGCGCAATATTTAGGCAAGCAATGGAATACAAGTTGGACCTTGGGGAGGTAACGGCGGTGTTAATCCCTGGACATTCATCCCCAATGGTAGGATTTCCCAGATCCGTATCAGTGCCTCTGGTTGTGTAGACTCTATAAGGTTCACATACATAGATCATCAAGGTATCCAAAAACACTCAGAAAGATATGGAGGTGATGGTGGTTCAGCGCATATGGTAAGTGAGCTTTCTTTACTTATATTAAATACCTAAACATGTACTATGATTTTCTATAATTTTATCATACAACATTTATCCATTATTGGGGTATAATCTTCAGGTTTCATTTATTGACGATGAGCACTTCATCGGGATTACCGGAACTGTGGGAGTATATGAAGGCGACACGGTGATTAGGTCATTATCTTTCCTTACCAACAAAAAGAACTATGGGCCATACGGCACAAACCAAGGGACTAGTTTCTCATTGCCGGTCTCTAAAGGTAGCTTTCGTGGATTCAATGGAAACTATGGGGCATACATCGACTCTTTCAGTGTCATTCTTCAACCATCTTCCCTTAAACACATATTTTGTTAGGTCTCGCATAATGTTTAGGATGTGTGAATTTGAATGTGAAAATTTTCACAATGCTTTTATGTTTTAGTCTTTGTTTTTTTGTATACAAACGTATTGTTTCTATATCATATGTTTGTTATTCTCATTATAACTTGGGTTTGCAGTTTGTTTTTTAAGTGACATGGTATTGACATAGTTGTCCTAACCTCATTATTTAGAGTCTAACAAACTCTCTTCTCACTCAATATGTATGGGAGAGTTGGTTAGAGAGAGAGTATCTTTTGGGTATTAGTTCTTTCATAATTTTATTGAAGTTTTCTTTACTCTCTATCAAATTAAAGATCTTATTTACTTTGTTGTCTTTATCTGGTTGGATCTTTGCTTTTACGCTTACATCGTTGCTTTTTAATCTTTTCTTTCCTAACAAGTGGTACCATAGTAGGATTCGTATGATCTATTTTTTAAAAATACCCAAATTACTCGAAGTTCTTCATTTTTCTCGTTTTTTACTTTGAATGTTTGATCAATTTCACCTTTTTCAAGATTTATTTGCAATTTGATCTTAGATTCTTTGTTCAAATCTTCTATTTCAATTTGAAATCTGTCAGTTGCTCATAGATCTAATTCTAATTCAATTGTTATTCAAATTCTTATAAAAATATGTCAAAAAGATTCTCATTCAATTTCTTTTAATCTCCCTAATAGCATTGCATCTACTACTTGGATTCCGATCCTTTTTCCAGAAGATTATAAGGCTTAGGTTCTACATTTTAAAGATTATATTCTTGAAATCGAAACTCACACATTTAGAGTCTGGCACGCAATCATGAAGGAACCTCACAAATATTCAAAAACAAATGATGGTGTTAAAACTCATTAGGAATTTGACAAGATCAATGTTGATAGCGAAGATCTCACAGAAGAATAAGTGGACCGATTGCAAAATAATATAAAGGTTAAAATGGATCTAAGTTTTTCTCTTCCACCTGATACATTTTGGTTGGTAAGTTCTTTGGATACTACAAATGAAAGTTGGACAAGACTAAAGGAATTGTACTTAGGTGATGCTGATCTTACTCATTCCAGTAAAACAACTATTATCTCTGAATTTGGTTCGATTAAACAAAAATCTGACGAAACTATTGATGAAGACATGAATCGATTTAATCATTAAGTCGGTAGAATGCTGAAATATAATTTCAAAAGAGAATTGATTGAACAAATGGAAATCCATTATGCTTACTAGTAAAGCACAACAATAATTAAAGAATTATTGTTTAGCTAATATGGATGGAAATCTAAGATCACATGAAGTTGAAGTTCTAGAAGATGTGAAGTCTGTTCCGAATGCTGGTCCATTAACATTTGTGGCTAGAGAAGATGGTTAAAAAGGTAAAAAGGTAAAGAGTGTTGCTGGAGATTCAGATTGTGATGCAATAGATTATGATTTTTCAAGTGAGGAAAAGGATTTGATGGTTAGCAATCCTAAGAAGTTTTTCAAGAAAACTTTCACTCGATTCAGAAACAATAACTTAGGAAAAGGTGAGAATGGCGGAAATAATTTCAAAAGTGGAAATTCAAACTCTGAGAAGACTAAAGAAGAAGGATTGAATGGATATCAAAATGAAAAAGAAAAGAAGGGAAAGAAGTTAGTCAGAGATTTATGTGCAGAAGATAGAGGATCTTCGCAAGATGAAGCTCGCTGGGAGAGCTTTGATCATTGGTGTATAAGAGAGTAATAATGGAAACACAAAGGTTCGGTCTACTAGTTCAGAAGATGATGAGGCTCCCTAGTCAACATACAAAGCTTACTATGTTGTGAACAAGACTAGGGATGCGAGCAGTGGTAAGTGTTTTATGGTGATTAGTGTGTGTTCAGGAAGTCAATGTTACTTTACATATGAAGGAGCAAGTTCAAATGTGTATTTTTCACCCAAGACAATCCTAGAGCATGTGGTAGAAAGTGAGAAGGTAATCGAAAAGCTACAATCCATCCTTGAATCTTTAAATATTCCTATTTATCGTTATAAATCTAAATTAATTGAGCTCCGAGATATAATTTCCTAATTTATTGAAAGCATAAAATGGAATCGTATAAGAACTTCTAATCTTGATGATGAAAGATGTTACCATTTTAGAATGCAAAAAGGAGGAAATGATAACATTTTCTGTCAGATTGCTCGTTATCTGTGTAATATTATTTCTCAACTCTATTTAAACTGTGAAATTGTGAAAGACATGTGTAGAAGGATGTTACCATTTTTTGAATTCAATGAGGAGGGAATAGATGTTGATTCTTATAATTGTAAATCCTTACTTTCATCCGATGAATCATTGAGTGACTCTGTAACAGCCCGAAATCTCAAGTATTGTTAAAATTACATTTTGGGATGTTTTAAAGGGGGGGACTCGGCGAGTTGGAGCCAGACTCGCCGAGTAGGATCGCAGACTTGGTCGCGGGTTCGCGACTGGACTCGACGAGTCCAGATAGGGACTCGGCGAGTCTGCGCTGTTTAGCGTAAACCGTAGCCGTTCAGGTTTGGGACGTATAAAAGGGGATCATTGGCCGTCATTGTTCCCTTTTAGCTACTGAGAAGAACCCTAAATCGGTTGTGGGCATCTAGAGCAAGGATTGAGGGCCATTGGTGATTTTGAAGAAGTTATTGTGCAAGAAGGGGAAGGTTTTGGCTAAAGGAACAGCAAGGGAATCACGTTTTGAGGCTTGGGGACACAGAGAGGGCGTTATTCAGGTAACATTGCGGATTATATTCTGTTATGTGAATGTGTGCATGGATTTGGCGTTTATGGAACCCTTTTCTGATTAGATTGATGGTTACCCTTGTTTCCCAAACGACTATAACCATGTATTAGGACCTTTAGAGGTCCAGAGGGTCCCATGCCTGTGTATTTCGGGACAATACTTATCTCAGGAAGCAGTTTGATCGACTGCATGGCGTGGAGTCGCCGAGTCCAATGAACAGACTCGGCGAGTAGCTTGGAGACTGACTGGGACTCGTCGAGCTGTTCTTCAAACTCGACGAGTGGAGTCGGGGTGGCCCCGCGATTCTTCCACGAAGAACTCGTCGAGTCAAGAGGGATACTCGACGAGTAGAAAGGGGAACATCAGGAATTGATGAGGACGTCTAGCCTCGCCGAGTCGCCTTAGCACTCGCCGAGTCCGGTCAAGTTGACCGTTGACCGTTGACCGTTGACCAGAGTTGACTTATGTGTGATTTCTTAGGGCCAGTTAACGTGGAAGATAAAAGTATTAATAAGAGGTATATGATGTTATAGGGAGCTTGTAGCTCGGCGGATCAAGTGCAAGTAATTTTAGGAGTTGCTAACTTCCAGTATCCACTAGGTGAGTCTTCTCACTATACTGTACCCGGAAGGGTTTGACTGTGTGACCGGAAGGTCGGATATGATATGTGTTATACGTGCCATAAATAGTAAGGTAATTGCTATGCGTGCTATGTATGTTTATATGGGCCGGAAGGCAATATGTTATGTGATTGGAAGGTCGGATATGGAATATGATATATGTGCTATATGTGGTAAGTTAAAGGTATCATGTGCCGTGTATGTTTATGGGCCGGAAGGCAATGTGTTATGGGCCGGAAGGCATTGTACTATGGGCCGGAAGGCAACACGTTATGGGCCGGAAGGCGATTATCTCATGGGCCGGAAGGCATTGTGCTGTGGACCGGAAGGTCAGGGCCTGGAAAGGCGTATGTGCGTAAGGTGTATATTGGGGAACTCACTAAGCTTCGGGCTTACAGTGTTTTATGTTATGTTGTTTTAGGTTCTTTCAGTAACACGGGATGGCACCGGCTCGATTGTACACACCAAAGAAAGAGTTATACTTGGAGGATTCTGGTTTTCTATTCAATTGAAAATGGAACTATGTTTTGTAATTCAATTATGAATGAGATTTTAAACAAGCGTTTTAATATTAAATTGATTACTTAAATGAAAATTTTGCCTTGAAATTTACGGTGTTACAAATTGGTATCAGAGCCTTGGTTTGAGGGATTCGTACGCGCCTTCGGGTAAATCTGGACTCAAACTGAGGAAGTAAGAAAAAGTTTTCAAATAAATAGTTTTCTAAAAGTGAATAAGAGTTCAAAGAGAAAGCAAGAAAGAGCAGTGTGTACAATTAGCCAGAGCCAAACGGTGATTTCCCAAAATACCCTTACTTTTGTGTTATGAAATATCTATTATGCACTTTATGAGATATTATTGCATGCTAGAGACAGGCTAGGTATTTCATATTTTAGGACTAGAATGGCCTGATTTGTGATGCCTTAGCCTAGGGTTTGTTGTTATATGTGCATTATGCTTTTGAGTATGTGATGAGTGAGACTATCCAGTTAGAACGCACGAGGGGTAGAGTTTCAGAGTTCGGTGGTACTTCCGAGGATGAGCCGAGAAGGTGGAGCTATCACAGATAGGGAGTCTTATGTATTCTTCGATGCTCGAATGCTGCTTGCTTTGTGCTTTGTGGAACTCTCGATGATGGGAGTCAGCTACTAAGTGAGTATGATGATATTCAGGAGGTAGATGGCTGGCATCAT